TATGTTATTTAAGTGGATAAATTTACATAGAGTAACAATATGGGGGGGGAGAACACTAAAGTTAAGAGGTTGTTTATGTTAATGGGGCGGGGGAATTTTGGAGAAATTAGGTCATAAAGTGGAACAGCAATATTAGGACAATGGTTAAAAAAAGAAAAAGGCAATAATTATAAGTATTAAAAGTAGTAGTCAAATTCAAATTCAAAATAATCTTTATTTCATAGGTAAGCATTATTACACTTGAAATCGTCATAATGGTTAAACTCTACCGCTCATTCGTAAGGCAGATTCCCCTGAGAAGAATGAGCAAGAAACTCAACCCCTAGAGCTCTTTGTAAATAACATTTACAATATTTTAGTGTATTATAATGTAATTATTATTTATTCTGCCCTCGTAATGAAGAAAGGCACAACCATGCATACTTTATATCACAGTTGGGTCATTTTCCTTCTGAGGGCAGTATACTTTTACTCAAGTGTCACCATATACTTTTAAATATGTACTAAAGTTAATTTGTATGAATGAATACCTCATGATAACACTGATAAATACCTCATCATTCCCCGGTGGACCATGGAAGGTAAAAGTTTCATTAGTATTATTGGCATATCTGATCTCCACTCTGTACGTAGTCTTCGTATCATGTCGCTTATCTACTTTATCCGGCAACCAGAGTTGATACCACTCATTTATACGGTAAAAGTCAGATGTATAATCCTTAGACAGACTTTCCTTGTCAAACGCTCCTAAGTCTTCAACGTAGAACGTATTCAATGTTGATATCTTTTGTAGATGAACAGGGTCGTTAAAATCATCTGCCCGGTACGCTCTTGGCGCGAAACGGGGCATAGTCTTATTGAAAAATCCTCTATACGACGATGTATAAGACATATTCGGTGAAAAATATATCGAACTAGCATTAATGTAAGGGTTTGAAGACACGTCGGCAACAGAAGAGAGGAAGTAATACATCATGCCAGGATCGTAAGTGTCGTTAATAGCGGGGCGTATGAATCTTGATTGGAGAATGTAACTCCAGAAAAACGCCCTATTCATGGCCATATTGTGCAAATGTAACATCGCTGTGCGGTTCGGAAACACAGGGTTTATATTTATTTCTTTCACGTCAGGATGGTGTGATACTGAGTCCTCTGGTAAGAATAAGTCGTCTAAATGTGTTATGTAACAGTTGTCCGATGAAACTTTGTCTATTTTTCCTCGAATTTCGTCGAAAGCGTCTCGAATTTGCCACTCATATTGACCGGCCACACCCAACAAAACACTCAGCGATATTGCTAACAAAACGTTATTTAATTTCTCCATTTTCACTTATTTATAGAGACCGACTTAACCACTAAATATTCAAAACATTTTGTAAAAGAAAACAATAAATTTTCACTTAGAAATACAAAGAATATTATAAAATAATACAATGTTTTGTTTGATAAGTTTTTGATTTGTGCCACAGACAAAATGCGAACAGATGGATGGACCTATGATTAGACACAATACTACATGCAAACATAATTCAAAATATGACCGTTGCTGATTCATACTCTAATATATTTATAAATGCGGACTTCCGGTTGGGAACTGCAAGAGGCTGTTTGTGTTTTGGCGAATTTTCATTTTTATATCCCCTGTTGACCTATCTTATGTGTTTAGTTAACTGGTTTGTGGTTATTATACATTATATTGGTGAGTAGATAGATAAATAGTTGCTTTATATTTGTGTTTGTGTTTGTCTTGTAAATGTCCGAGCCCCCCGATCCTGGTGGAGGCGATGCCGAGCCACGTCCTCGGTCATCTCCGCCATTGTTTACACAATCCCAAGTGGACATAATGGAGTTAGACAATCCGGTCCAAAATAGAAAACGAGCCCCCGCAACCGAAGAAACATCCCTGCCCTCCAAAAAAACTAATACCGGGCAATCATCCCCTTCTATTCAATCTACATACAACAACCCAAAATTCTTGGACACGAAAATTAAGTACACGGACGATGATTCGGCCCCATTTATTGTTCACGTTAATAAAATTGTGTCGGATCAAGCGTCTGGAACGGCATTGCGCCCCATTAAATTTGGACATTTTTTGTATAAAATTAATGTTAAAAATATTATTAAAGATGGTGTGAAACGTGTTATAAATAAAAATATGAAATAGAATTTCCATTGAATTTAAATCTTCTAACGACGCTAATGCTTTCCTTGAACACCCTGCTCTTTCCCCAGCTAAATATGAGGCAATTATTCCCAGCTACAGTGTAACCAGAATGGGTATTGTCCGGCAAGTTCCTGTAGAATGGACTCTGGAAGAATTAGTAGAAGCACTGGAGATACCAACAGGTTATGGCTCTATTGTTAGGGCTCGCAGGCTAAACAGGAAAACTTACAACAGTAGGCTCGCCTTCATGGATCTCCACCCAGACAGTGGTACTAACCTTCTCTGGACAAAGACTGCCCTCCCATGTTTATTGTTTCTTTACTTCACTCCCAGTAGAAACATACGTCCTTCCAACGATCCAATGCAACAAGTGCTGCAGGTTTGGACACATCCAGACTCAATGCAGATCAGAAGCTCGTTGTTTTATTTGCGCACAAGCCCATGAGGGCATATCTTGCACCAAGGAAATTCCAACTTGTCTGTACTGCTCTGGTTGCCATAAAGCAACAGATCCCTTATGCCCTGAACAAATAAGACAGAAACATATTAAACTAGCTATGTCCCAGGATAATGTTTCATACTCTGAAGCATCTGCCAGATTTGCCCAAGTCCGAAGATCTTTTGCTGATACAGCAAGGGCGGACATTCGTGGTTTCCAACCCTCTCCAACCCCTCACTATGCTTCCCCCTACCATCTTTCCCCGCAACTCAGTCCTCCGCAATCCATTCCTTACCGCAAAACAGTATATACTCCTTGACATCAACCCCTCCCTGCCTCTAGTCCAGGATTTAATCAGCAAGCTCATAGGGACATAGTTAAGCCCCCTAGGTCTCAACTCTCAAATGCTTGCGCATTGCCAAATACCCCCTCATTGCCGAATGATAATCTAATATCTTTACTTCTATCAACCATCATCAATCTTTTGGGTCGTTTTAGTGACGTCCCCCTACCGAACCATGTCAAAGACCAACTGTCTCAGCTCCTTAATCTTACCTTTTCCAATGGCTCCCATACTCCAATGGAACTGCCGGAGCAGCAAGAATAAAGAAAATGAAATATTATTTCTAATTAATAAATACTCTCCTGATGTTTTTGCCGTCCAGGAGATGCGGCGTAGGCCTGGCGACCGAGTTCGGTTTCCGGGTTACTCGTGTCTCCGGGACGACAGAACAGATGGACAAGGAGGTTCGGCCCTCCTTGTGTCGCGATCTATTCCTTTCTCTCAGATCTCCCTCCCGCCCCATAGTGAACATATCAATGCAGTATCTGTCAAATCCCTCGAAGTAACTTACCTCTCGGTTTACATACCCCACCCCAACCATGCATGCCTTGCTGAGTTTTCTGATATTCTCTCCCATCTGAGCCTTCCGCTTATAATTTTGGGTGATTTTAATATCCACCACACTTCCTGGGGCTCATACTTTAATGACCATTTATCTTCCTCTTTCTTGGACATCATTGACAGATATGATCTCTGCATCCTTAACGATGGCTCCCCTACGCGTAGAGTTTATCCATCTCAAAATATTAGAAGCGCTGTCGATCTGTCCCTATGCACCCCATCCATATCCTCCCGACTTATCTGGACAATCTTGCCAGTAACACATGGCAGTGACCATTTCCCCATCATCATAGAGTCAACACAGCACCGTGTTGACCGTACTAATGTGCAGGGTATTCCACGCCCTCATTTAAAATGCAATTTGGCAAAGGCTGACTGGTCAAAATATAGTAGTATTTTAGAACAAGAAACCCAACATCTTCCTGTAGTCAATCCTGACAATGTCCTCTGAGTTTATATTGATTTTAGAAATTGCCTGCTCACATCAGCAGAAAAATCCTTCCCTAACAAAAAAATATATAAGGGGTACCCTCCATCTCCACCTTGGTGGGATTCCGAATGCACTGTAGTCTGCAAAGAAAGAAAAACAGCGGAACTTATATATGCCCAGACAATGTCAGAATCCAATTTTATAATATACCGTGCAGCTGCAGCAAAAGCTACAAGAACACTAAGTTCTAAAAAAAAATTTGGCTGGCATAGATTTTGTGCAACTCTCTCACCAAGGTCCCCCCCTTCATTAGTTTGGAGGAATATCAAAAGATTTAGGGGTGCTATGTCTTGCACCAGCAACATTAGTTCCAATGACACCGCAGAGTGGCTTGATCAATTTCAAAATAAACTGGCTCCTCCTTCAGTTCCTACAGACATTGCAATCCGTTCGGGTGTACCCCCATCATTTTCCCCACACACAGTTTTTGATGATCCATTCTCTCGAGAGGAACTCGAAGCAGCTCTGGGAGGCCTCATTGATTCTGCCCCTGGGGTGGATGGGATTCCATACTCTTTTATTATTAACAGCGGTAATGCAAATAAAGAGTTGTTCCTTAGTATCCTCAATTGCATATTTGTAACCGGGCTCCCTCCAGAAGAATGGAAAACACAAATTGTTATACCCATATTAAAACCTGGTAAACAAAGTAATGACCCTAATGGATATAGACCCATAGCCCTTTCCTGCACAATGTCCAAAGTCCTAGAACATCTTATCAAAAATCGCCTTGAGTGGATTGTGGAGAGCAAGGGTATACTGGCCAAAAGCCAATTCGGTTTCCGGAAAGGCGTTAGTACAATGGACAGTCTAAGCATCTTCCTGACTGACATCTGGATTGGTTTATCTAAACGGGAGCATATAATTGGAGTATTTTTAGATATATCATCAGCGTATGATAATGTTTTGCTTCCGTTACTCAGGCAGAAACTGCTCAATCTGAGTATTCCCGTGAGGCATGTTAATATTTTTATTTATTTATTTTAACTCATAGCCAATGAACTGCTGGCGTTCATACAACACGCCATCGACACTATGGACGAGGTCAGCATCATGCAGATCTGCAAATCAAACTTTAAAGAAGATGAGATTTGCAGTGGCAAGGCGCTGCTTTTCCGTGTGCTTGGCAAGGCCGAGCAGATGCCATCTCGCCGGAGGGATGGAGGAACGAAGAGTATCCAGGACATTATAACGATGTTAAAGGAAACCGACCCAGACGACGTGCCTGCTTTCGTGGCAAAGGAGCTGCACAAGCTGCCCCCTGTCACGTTCGACCATGTCGATGTCACTAGGCTGCTTAAGGACATCACATCCCTGAAAGCAAGTCTGGCCGAAGTGCAACGTAAATTGGAGGCTTCGGATAACACCATCTGTGAGTTACGTGCCCAAGTTGTATTACTGAGTAGTGCAACTTCGGTAAGTAGGTCACCCGAGGCCTGTAACGTGAATACTCGTCGCGGGGCACATAATGCATCTATCGGCAGTTTTGAGTCGGCCCATACGGATGCGTCACCGACCGCTGTCGCTGAGCGCGTTTCCCCGCGCCCCGCCCCTCGATTGTCCGCTCCGGCGGAGACGTCACGCGTAAACACGTTGACCCCTCCACGTGATTACGCCGCTGTCGCAGCTGTTAACCGACCCGTTGCTCCACAACCACAAGCCAGGCAGCTATCAACGAGGGGATGAAAAAACCTCGTGTACCTGTCTCTGAAGTTGCAAAACCACAGAGGCAGACGGCCCGGTGCGACGATGACGGCTTCACAAAGGTGGAGAAGAAGAAGAGGAAGCCCACCAGCCGTAACCTGTGCGGCACTGCACCGACAGGGTCCAACTTTTTGCTGCGTCCGGCAATCCCGACAACGCTGCTGTACCTGTCACGCCTGCATTACTTCACGAAGTCTGAGGAGATAGTGGAGTACATCAGGTTGAAATCCAAATACACCCTGAGGGTCGAGCGGTTGGAGTCCCGCCACTACGTGAACTTTAATTCGTTTGTGGTGAGAGTGCCGACCGAACATCTGTCGACCTTCATGAAGGAGGAGTTCTGGCCGAAGGGTGTCCTATACCGGCGATTCCGTGGCCGGTTGCCTGACACCAGATGGCGCCACACGTCGCCGACAACCTAAATACGTGTTAAATTAGTAATTAGTGTTATTTTATATTGTTATGTATGTTAGTCTGTAAGGTATGTATCTATGGGTCTCAGTAACCTGAATATAAATAAATAAATAAATAAATAAAAAAAAATATATAATTTTTAATCTCCTCTTTGCCCGTTCAATCCAAGTGAGTGTTAACAACTTACTTTTACCACAAAGGACCGTTTGGAGAGGCCTCCCACAGG